AAAGCATTGTAAAAATTTACTTGTCGTTACTTATCAACTAGATATGTCCTTTGTCTTTATTGATTGTTAAGATATGCTTCACAGGTAGGAATTCCATCGAAGAACCCATTTTCGTCACAACTTGAATTTCTAGGGGCTGCTTCCGTACCACTATAGCGAGAGATCAACAAGTAAGTTAATTCCGCTTGGTCAAAGTACACAACGCCATCCCTGGGTCGAAGAGTGACTCTTTCAAGAATATCGCGTGACTGGCGTGGTACTTAAGGACAACTTGCAATTGAATGTCTCAAGAAAGTGTGACTGCAAAACCTTAGCCTCGTTCTGTTTTTAAATAAAAAAAAAGAAAAATGAAGCGATGATCAAAAGTCTTCGAAGAAGAAAGAAACGCCACTGAAATCCATTACTGCTGGAGCCAACATAAATTCATTAACGAAATAAAGTGATTCGACACAGGGTTGATCCATTGTGTCAATAAAATGTTAAAAATCCACCAGTAAAAATTTTTATTCTTTACATTGCTCACTTCCTCTCAATTCTGCGATAATTAGTTAAAAGGAGCAATATCACTTTCGTAAAGTAGACATTGTAGCCATTCTCACCACCTACCCCTTTTCGTTGCAAATCGGCTCGTTCTGTTTTAGCTTACAAAATTTAACCCTAGGAACTATTATGCGTATGTTCACTCGCTTAGATTTTGTTTTGTCTGTGATTTATTACCATATAACAAAATCTTTCAAGCGTATGATCTTTCACTTAAATTTTATTATGTCTATGATATATTACCATATCAACAAATTTTTTGAGCATACGTTCAATGGCTTAAATTTCATCCTGCTAGTTTTTAAATTTTTACAAACAAAATATTGCTATATATACACCTTCTTAGATGCATAAAGTATTTCGTTATACATAGCTATTGATTAGCATTAAATGCTCTTTTAACCACGCCATTATCATTCTACCAGGATGGGTTTTATGCTGTAAAGTTTATTGTTCTACTCAATTGACTTCCTTAGAGCTTACGCCCTGTTGATAACCAGGAGTCACAGTACATATTGTGAAAGTTTTCTTATAGGGTTTAGAGATATGCAGAGACATATCAATTAGCCTTTTTCATGGCTACCACGGCTAATGACCACTCTTCAAGTACACAAATCAATATAATCACCTCCTAAGTGACGGTAATTCAGCGTGCTCGGTATCAATGAAGACTTCGCAAAGGGCTGCAAATAACTGGTATGAAGCTAAACTTTCGTCTGGTGATAAGGCGGTACGGAAAAGGAATAATCTATGATCAAAAATAAATTGAAATAAACGCCTCTCTTAGACTCGCCAAAACTGAAAACATGATTCAACTAATTTGCCACGTGGCACTCTACGCCGTTTTTGTTTATCGGAAGTGATATCATTTCTTTGTTCATTTAAACACGAAAATTCTGCAAGTGTTCTCAGAGCGCCGTGGACCCTTACTTATTTTGTCTCGTCACATATTTACTGCATCAAAAAGCAAAGAGTAACCATGCATCTTTTCGTCCTTATTGCCGCTTTCGGCATCGCTTTCACCCCTGGCTACGGTTATCCCAAAACGGCTAAAGGCCTTAATT